GTGTTCATAATGATAGGTGGAGTAATCTATGAAACCTATGTTCACAATGAAATTTTGAGCAAACTATGAACTGCAAGTTCATAATGATCTTAGAGTAATCTATGGACAACATGTTTATTGTGACACCGCGCCCGAACGTCCTTGAAATTCAAATTAAATTTCAAAGTTTATGTATTGAATTTCCCTATTATTGAACAATTGTAAAACGATTAAAGTTTTACGTAATGTGTGATTAATCATATTACTGTTTAGGCTCGTATAATAGTAATGGACTTCCAAATAATTAATTGGGCCATCTTATTGATATTGGGACCCAACATTCTAAAATAAAGATATATGACCCCTCGATACAAAGTAAGAACGGTCGGGCAGCCCAAATGTTATTTTGGGCCTAACCGGCTAAAAATAGTAAGTATTCAAGAATGGCGTCTTAGGCCCACTCGAGGATGGTCCATGCGGCCTGTAGCCCAAGAATACAAATTCTAATGTCATAAATAAGTGATAGGATGCTTTCAGAAGAATACAAATGCTTATGGTCCCATCTTTGACATTATTGAGCTAAATAATGGGAGTAGGTTTTTTCTTCTAAAATATTCATCATGTAAATTATTGGGATGATCCTACACATATTGGAGATCAATAATATGATGTAGGGAGTTGACTTGGTCTATATAAATTAGAATGAGTACAGAAGACATCTCATGACAAAAGATAAAACAATAGGACTCATCTTTCCATTTTTGGAAGTATAAGTAGATATTTTGGACCCAAAAATGATTGGGATCAATTGGAAACCACCCCACACCATCCTAGAACCTGCAAAATAAGGATAATAAGTTAGAAAACTTATTTGGGTCGGGCATAATAGGCTTGGGGGGCTGCACATGACAAAAGAAATCAAAGGTGAGACCCACCCATGTCTAAAATATCTTACGGAGTCAATATCAATTCATTTCACTTCACACAACCTATCCAACTTATTTGATGGGTCTTAGACACCCCCCCCTAACCCCCATTCGGACTCTTGAAGATAAGGGGGAAGGAGAGAGCCTCACAATCAAAGAAAGGCAAGTGAGAGGGAGCTGTCCGCAGGATTAGTCATCAAGTGCGTAGATCTTCTTGTTCGACTCATATCTTGAGTTTCAATTGTACAAATAAGGCGTGTGAGGTGTCAAAAGAAAACTCTCAAGATAAGGAATCCATATAGGTGAGTTTTGCAGAAGACGGAGCAGTTTAATGCCTCCAAAGAATCGAAGGAAAACGATACCTCGCAGATTACGTTTTTGCATTCAAAGTAAGTTTGAATCCAAAACTCTCCTTTCTATTGTCTAAATCATATAAACGATTGAGGAACTATTATATACTATTTCAAGTGTATAAAATATTATTATAAGGTTACTTTATATGTTGTAAAGCTTAGATACTAACCTAGAACAAACCTTGAAAGGTTAGGAACCGATTTCGGCGGAAAACACCCATTCTAGAGGCTGTTTTTGTATCATTGGTTAGGAGTTGAGCTAGCACCTTGAGTAGGCTGTATAACACTCATTTCTAAGCAAGGAATCAGTTCTCAAACTTCCTTGGCCGAATCTTTGAGCATTGGATTGAGAAGGAAAGGTTTAAAGCTCATTTGAGGTGAGGATCGACATCTAGTTGTTACAACTTGTAGGTTAAGAATGAGATTACCTAAATGTCTAAATCATGTTTTTCATGGATTATGATGACTTATTATTGATGAAATATTGACATATTTGATAAGGAATGAAATTGGACATGATTTGGAATCATATTGATAAAAATGAAGTTAAATGAGCTATTAATGAACTATTATGTAAAATATGCATTTTTACTCATGTGTGAATTTTGTAGATACATAAATGAACATTTATGTATTAAATTGGATTCTTAGGTTGCTTCCACATATCTCTAAATATGTAGGGGTTTACAAATGGAATATATGGTTGATAGGAATAATCTTAATAGTATTGAAATACTAGTTAATGATTGTTTGTAATTGTTAAGAAATTGAATCTAAGGATTTGATTGTAAGTGATGTGCTTGAATGTGATTCAAGTGACTTAATTGATTTAGTATGAAGCTAAGATCATGTTATGGGCATTCCATTAGGATATCCCAAAATAGATTATTGATATCTCAATTCTAGGCATAGGTTTGCTTAGGAATTGAGTTTATGCCATGGCACGATGATGTACTTGAGTTGGACTCTAGAAGTGCATGAGTAGACAAGGGGTTGTGATTGATGACATGCATGGTGATGTACTTGAGTTGGACTCTAGAAATGCATGGGAGATTTGAGGCTGTAGCCTATGATGTGCATGGTGATGTACTTGAGTTGGACTCTAGAAATGCACGGTGGAGTAATTAATTTGTGTCATATGATTTGCATGATGATGTACTTGAGTTGAACTCTAGAAATGCAAACATATGTGTTAGGGTTGGACCTTATGAATTGTCGTGACTGGTAGTCACGAGGTATTGGGTTGATGTTTTGTAAACAAACCTTGGCCCTACGGACCGACTACTTGACTTAATATATAAAGTAAGTATATTTTGAAAAAAGGTAACTTGGGGTTACGACTTAGATATCTTATCACCCTATTTGAGGGTCTTTTGTTTGAAATACTTGTTGTATATCTATTAGATGCCATCCACACCAGTACTTTATAGCCGTATAGAGTACTGACCCCTTTTCGGGGGGCGTCCCACCACCATTTCAGGTTGAGGCTAGAGCTTGCTACCTGTGCTCGTTGATCGGGTGATCATCTCGGAGAGAAGACTTGGTTCATGCTTCCTGCATTCTGTTTTTGAACATTTATAAACATGCTCATGGATATTTTTTCATTATGGAGCATGTGTGCTCATGTTTGCCCCGTGTGGCATTTGTTTTCAAACTATGTTTTCCGCTGCGTATTGAATTACTTATTATGTATGTTTCTGGATGGCTTATGTGTGAATGATATTCGAGACGCCTTGTATAATATGGATGTGTTAGACTGCGGTTGACTATTCGTATTGTACAACGGTTGTTGACGTGTCCAGATAGGTCCGGGGCGTGACATTTATAATGATAGGACCGGTAGACAACCCGGGCATTCATGTAATTTTGGATAATATTTTTGAATTGAAGAGTAAAGGGTTTTGGAGAACTAATTGTGGATAAGTATTTATTGGAATATGAAATCGTTATGAATAAGTATTTATAAACTATTTTGTTGAAATCTCAAAAGTTGTTTTGAATGACGAATCCGATTTTAAACTTGAAAATTGTATTTTGAGAACTAAATAAATTTTTGAATCTATACGTTAAGTATCAAATCTATTTTCTTCAAACTATATTATTTTACGGGGTTGGTGGGTCTTACTTAGCTAAAAAGCTATTTTTTGTTTCATTTTCTTTGTTTTGTTTTCTACATTTTATTTGGTACAGGTGATGAAGAGTATGCTTGATGAAGAGAGCCCCGTTAAATCACCTAGACTAGTTACTAGTTACATTATTAAATTCAGAACTTCAAAACTTGTTATTGTTTAATTTACCTTCAGTTTAAAACTTAGCACTTATGATTATTTTTGGACTATGGTTTAGCTTGTGCATTCAGTTGTGGGAGAACCGAATGTGGCGGTAACACCCATTGAATATTATGTTTCCGCTGTAATTTAAACTCTTTTGAATTAAATATTTTGGGAAATCCTTTTTATTCTTGCTATAATTAGCATCTATTTTGGGTGTGAATTGGGGGGGGGGGGGGGGGGGTGTTACACCGGTTATATGACCATACCGACCCCGAGTATCCCCCCTGCTTGCATATTTTGACATTTTGTTCCGTTTTGACGCCCTTAATTGACTTCGAAATGCTGTTTCTTGATCCCCTTTGATCGTTGACTCCCGTTTTTCATTCTTGACGTCTTTGTGTGTTTTTGTCGTTGCCCGTCTTCTCTTTGAATATCTGTACAAATAATTACAATTAGCTATATAAAATATAGGTAATTATAATGCTTATGAGCATGATAATTCTCACCACCTAACATAGCTAATCTTGAGGAACACATGCGTTGAAGCATACGGATACACTGAAGCAGGTTGAGTTGGTGCCGCTATGTTAACAGGAAGATAATATACGACATCTATGTTAAGAAGCGAATGAAAGATATGTGGTACAAGTACTAAAACGTTAGGTACACCTCTACAAAGCTATCGTATTACACCAACAAATTTTTATACCCTAAAATAACCATATCCTCATTCATGTTTATAATTTTGTAAAGATTACATATATTTGGTGTTGAGCATTGACCAGCGGTCACCAGCTTGACCCGCCGGGTCAGGATTGACCCTTGATCCTGTAATATGTCCACGTCACTTTCAAGTCCGGTTTTTCTGACATAGATATTTATGCTTTTTTGGGAAAAGTGAATTTAAGTAAACCTAGTGCTATAAAGTAAACCTAAGTTATAATAAAAACTAGGGTAACCCAAGTGAACCTAGGTTCATGCGTAAAATATTGTTTGGAAATAAATAAAGTGAACCTAGGTTAATTAATACTCCTCTGTCCCTTAAAACTTTGTCAACCTTCCTTTTTTCATGTCCCATTAACTTTGTCAATTTCTCTTTTAAGTAAAGAATTTGTGATTCTAGTTATTAATTCTCTTTGCTCTGCACAAATCTCAACCACACAGTTTTTATTTTGTTAATCCTCGTGCCGGTCAAACTTGACAAAGTCTTAAGGAACGGAGGAAGTAAATGTTATTTGGATGAAGGTACTTTAACTCATTTTATATTATAGGAGAACTTAACCTCCAAATCTCCCACACCGCAGGTTCTTCAAATTTAGGTTTTTCGAGGTTCCGAGAAGTTAGCTGTACTTAACACAAATTTATTAACAATGTAAGTTTTTGTTGTAAAATACAAACAAACGGAGTTAATTACAAATTGAACATGACATGACCCAGTTTAACCCAAACAAACCGAGCATTAGAAATAACCCACCCAGCCCGCAGTAATACACTCATACGGAGTAATAATTTCGCAGAAGCTCCACTTTTGTCTTAGCTGCCTTCTCCATTGGCAACTACTAATCTTCTGTGAATCCATCAAAGTCAAAGAGCTTATAAAAAAGAAACTCATTTCAGACATCTCACTCAATCATAGCTGGGCGAATAATCTTTGACCGCAAGGAATTTGGTATTATGTGGGATGGTTTCATAACAGAGAACTGTTTATGCGTGCGCAGTTGAGTTAGCTGAGTCGAATCCGACGAGTTATGGGCTGTTTTCAATCGACGTTCTCCAAGGCCCACTCTTTCCACGAGAAGGACCACCGCCCAGGGCAGAACCGTCATATCACCTCATCCAACGGCAAAGGCAGCGCAACCGCCACCTCCGCCCCATCCGAGGGGGGAGCTGCGATCTTCTCAGAGTTTTTGCTCGCCGACCTCAAGGCGGCAACAAACAATTTCAGCTCAGAGTTCATTGTCTCCGAGAGCGGCGAGAAGGCTCCCAATGTGGTGTACAAGGGCCGCCTGCAGAACCTACGCTGGATTGCCGTGAAAAAGTTCACCAGAACGGCTTGGCCTGATCCTAAGCAATTTGCGGTAGTTCAATCTCTCTTCTGTTGATTAAGGAACTTTTTTAATCATGAAGTTGTGTGTCTTTTATCTTCATGAAAATTTAGGGTTCAAGTTCTTTTGCTGTTTTCTTTTCTTGTTTACTGAATATTTTCTGAAGGAGGAAGCTAAGGGTGTAGGGAAGTTCAGGCACAAAAGGCTTGCGAATTTGATTGGGTATTGCTGTGATGGTGATGAGAGATTGCTCGTGGCTGAGTTTATGCCCAATGATACGCTTGCTAAACACCTGTTTCACTGTATGTGATGATATTTTATCTTTGCTTTCTCAACAACTTTTGAGCATTTTCTGGTTTTTTTCTTACTTTGAACTAGTTGTGGTCATTCCTGGATGATCGAACTATCTAAAACTTTGATTCCACACCATTGTTGACAACAGTCAGTTGATTGTCTTTCCTTTCTCTTTGTGCTTTAGTACAGGGGTAAGGCTGCGTGTATCTGACCCCCTTACCCCACCGTAGATGGGAGACTTTGTGGCATTGGGGCAATGTTGTTGTTGTTGAACCATTCGGCATGTGTTGTATTAGTATGAGTTTGGTAAATAAATTAGTGTTTTGATAGAATAAATTGGTTGATATGGTGAGTAAATAAAACAAAAATGCCTACCATACGGTGATTAAGTAACTTTTTACTTTTACTTTCAGAAAAGTTCAACAAATTTACCCATTTCTTAAAAAAAAACCTATTAAAATGAGCCCATGGTAATACTAATTTCTTTGCATTTACTGTTAGCAAGTAACAACGTGACATGCATTTTTAGTCAAACATGTCACTTGGACATGTTTCATCACGTTTTAGAGAGAAATGCTTAGACTCCATAGTATGCGTTCTTGTATTATGCCATTTTGAAGGGCCACCTTGGCTTCATTTTTATACAGGGGAAAACCAAACCCTTGAGTGGGCCATGCGCCTTAGAGTAGCTTTATATATTGCTGAAGCATTGGATTATTGTAGCGGTGAAGGCCGACCACTATACCACGACTTGAATGCATACAGGGTTCTCTTTGATGAGGTAAATTCATGGACTCAGTGACTCACCATACTCAGGAAGTTTATACTTCGAGATTTTTATAGACACGGGTTTCTGTTTTTCTTTTTGCATTTCTCTTGGTAATTATATCCAAGATATTGTTTTGATTCATGTCATGTGATGTGACTAAGTGATACTATTGGACGTCATATCCAAGATATTGTAATTGTAAAAATTACCTTGCAGGGTGGTGATCCACGTCTATCTTGTTTTGGGTTAATGAAGAATAGCAGGGACGGTAAAAGTTATAGCACAAATCTTGCATACACGCCCCCAGAGTATTTAAGAACGGGTAGTTTTTTTATTCATTCACCATGTAGCTTCTCTAGTTCTCCACCATAAGGGTGTGTTAGCACAAACCACATACCTTCTCATAGTTTTTTGTTATTTTCATTCTGTCTACTAATTTTTGTTTTAATACATCGGAAAGGAATTCTGTCTACTTTAATATGTTAATGAGAACAATATTTCCTTATACTTTTATCTATTTCAGGGAGAGTAACACCTGAAAGTGTTGTTTTTAGCTTTGGGACTGTCCTCTTGGACCTTCTCAGTGGAAAGCATATTCCACCTAGTCATGTAAGTGCCTAACCAACACCCTATCATAAATACACAAGATGTTGGGCTGTAGGATTCAACCCACTCAGATCTGGGAGCCAAATAAACAAGGAGCAGCAGTCGGCCCTAGCTGGGCTTGTTTTTGGTGGCAGTTAGGCCCCGAGCTTAATTAAGAGTTTACCCTAATTGTTTGCTTATATATATGAACTTCTGTACTTGTAAACATGGTATTGTATCATTTATCACCTCAATAAGCAAAGAAAACACTAGTTTCCCCCGTGGGTTAGGTCAGTAACATCTACTGGCTGAACCACGTATAATCGTGTCGTTCTTCTCGTTCTTTTCTAGTTTTTCAGATTTGTGTGTGTGCCCTAACCTAACAACTGGTATTAGAGCAAGGTTAGCCACCACCACATATCCAACCACCACCGTTGCCGCCTTGCGTCTTCAGCCTCTTTGCGCTGCCGCAGAAGAATAAAGCCGGCAGATTGTAAAGGACTGGGACAATGGCAGATGACAGAAAAACCAAAGTCGTAGTTTGATGGACAAGACTTTGGTTGGTGGAAGATGCAAATTGAGGATTTATTGTGTTAGAAGGATTTGGATCAAGCCCTGACAGGGAAAAACCAGAAAAGATGAGTGATGATGAATGGGCTGCTCTAGGTAGAAAAGTTTTGACTATGATCAGATTTACCCTAGTCAAGAGTGTGGAGTTTAACATCTTGAAGGAGACTATTGCATGTGGTTTGATGAAGGCTTTGTCAAACATGTATGAGAAACCATATATGACAAACAAGGTATTTCTGATAAGACAGCTAGTAAACGCCAGAATGAAAGGTGTGTGTGTTACCTCGCATATTAATGAGTTTAATACTATCATATCCTGCTTGCTATGTGTTGATATTAAGTTTGAAGATGAAGTCCAAGCTTTGCTCTTGTTATTCTCGTTACCAGAAAGTTGGTCAGGAACAGTCACTACCACTAGTTTTAAACTCACCTTTGAGGGCATCTGTGACTTTATCCTAAGAGAGGATATAAGGAGGAGCTCTGGAGAATCTCCGAGTGCTTTGTTAAGCACTGAAGTGAGAGGTAGAAAGAAACTAAGAAGGGAGGGGGGGTAATGGCAAAGGCATATCAAAGTCTAGAAAGAGGAGCCAGTCAAAACCGAGGAAAGATATTCAATGCTAAGACTGCAAAGAAACTGGGCATTTCAGAAATCAATGTCCAAAATCATCAGAAAGGAAGGAAGTGAATGCAGCTGCTGTTGATGCCCTTATCTGCTCTGTTGAAAACTCAACAGAGTCGTGGATTATGGATTCCGGTGCATCATTTCATGCTAAAAGACAATGAAGAATCTAAGGGCAGTTAATTTCGGTAAAGTTCATTTGGCTAACATCGACTCTCTTGACATCACATGGATGGGTGACATAGACTTAAAGACTTCTTAAGGCACCAATTGGACAATGAAAGACATTCGGGTCATTCCAAGCCTTAAGAAGGTGCTGATTTCTATTGGGTAGTTAGATGATCAAGGATTTGATGTTACTTTTGGTGAGAGACAATGTATAGTCATCAGAGGAATCTTGTAATCGCCATAGGTAAAAAGAGGGGTAAAGGGAATGAATATGCTCGTTGGAAGGGGGAAACTTGTGTTCTTGGCAAGAAAAAGAATGTTTCTTTTGTGAAGACAGGACAAACACCGGAAACTCAAAAGCGGGAGATAGTTCATACGGATGGTTTTGGACCAACACCAATCTTTTCCCTGAGAGGGTCAAACTATATGTGACCTTCATCGATGACTTAACGCGCAAAGTATGGGTCTTCTTTCTTAAAAAATAAGTTTGATGTTTTCAATATTTTTAAGAAATGGGAAATTGATGTTGAATTGAAAACTAACCTGAAGGTAAAGTGCTTGAAATCGGATGACCTTAATTGATTATTGTGCTGATCATGATATTCAGATGATAAAGATGGTTCTGGGCACCCCTCAACGGAACAGAGTGACAAAAAAGATGAGCAAAACTTTGAGAGAGCCATGAGTATGAGACTTAATGCCGGGCTTCTAAAGACGTTTTGGGCTGGTGCAGTGGACACTGCTGCTTATCTTATCAATCGGGGCCATCAATACCATTGGGTTTCAAGATACCAGATGAAATAGTGGAAAGGAGAAGCAGTGAAGTATGAACATTTAAAGGTATTTGGATGCAACACTTGTGATCTTATTAAAAATGGTGACAAGTTACATGCTAAAGTCAAGAAATGCACTTTCATTGGATACAGGGGAGATAACATAGGTTATAGGCTTTGGGACTTTGAAAGCAGAAATGTAGTCAGAAGTAAACATGTACTTCAACGAGGTTGAACTTTATAAATACAGAAGCATAGAAAACTCAAAGATTCAGAAAGAACGGGTTGAGTTTGAAAATGATGTCATCAGAAATAGTGGGTCAATAGATACTCAAGGCAGTGGGAGCATGGAGAATGATTATAGTATTGACGAGCCTTAGGATGATCAAGGAGACTCTGATGATAGTGAAAGCTCAGAGGATAAAGGAGTGAAGGAGTGAAGGACCATCTTCACCAGTGCAGCCACAACCAGCTGAAACACAGTGGGTCAGGAGATGCACTAGTCACTAAACCTCCAAAAAGATTCAGCCCATCAGTTAATTATCTTCTTTTGACTGAAATTGGAGAACCATAAAGTTACTTCGAAGTAGTAAAGCATAATGATTCGCTTCAATCAGAGCAGGTTGTGAAAGAAGAACTGAGTGTCTTACACAAGAACAAGACATGTGTTCTAACTAAGCTTCTGCTATGTAAGAAGGCACTTCAAAATAAATGGGTATTCAGAATCAAGGATGAACCTGATGGGTCAAAATGGTACAAAGCCCGTTTAGTGGTCAAAGGTTTTCAGCAAAAAAAGGGAGCAGAATAGCAGATTATATTGAGATTTTTCTCCCGTGGTAAGAATGACCACCATCAGTTTGGTTCTAAGTATTGTAGTAGAGGGCTTACATCTATAACAGCTAGATGTTAAGACATCATTTTTACATGGCAATCTTGACAAGAATATTTACATGGCACAATCTGAGGTGTTTCGGGAGGCTGGTAAAAAAAATTGGTCAACAAACTAAAACGAAGCTTATATGGTTTGAAACAATCACCCAGATGGTGGTATCTGAAGTTTGATAACTTCATGATAAGGATAAAGTACAAAAGATGTGAGATGGATCATTGCTGCTATGTGAAGAAATTCAAGAGTTCATATATCATTCTACTTCTCTATGTAGATGATATTGAGATTTTTCTCCCGTGGTAAGAATGACCACCATCAGTTTGGTTCTAAGTATTGTAGTAGAGGGCTTACATCTATAACAGCTAGATGTTAAGACATCATTTTTACATGGCAATCTTGACAAGAATATTTACATGGCACAATCTGAGGTGTTTCGGGAGGCTGGTAAAAAAAATTGGTCAACAAACTAAAACGAAGCTTATATGGTTTGAAACAATCACCCAGATGGTGGTATCTGAAGTTTGATAACTTCATGATAAGGATAAAGTACAAAAGATGTGAGATGGATCATTGCTGCTATGTGAAGAAATTCAAGAGTTCATATATCATTCTACTTCTCTATGTAGATGATATGCTCATAGCCGGTGCATATATGAAAGAGATCAACAAGTTAAAGAAACAAATGTCTCAAGAGTTTGAAATGAAACATTTGGGTCCAACCAAATAGATCCTCGGGATTAGCATTGAGAAAACAAGGAGAATGGTTCTCTGGTCCCAGGAGAAATACATCGGGAAAGTGTTAGAAAAATTCAATATGAATGAAGAGAAGACAAAACCAAGGAACACACCTTCGGGAAGTCACTTCAAGCTTATCAAAGATCAGTCTCCGAGAACAGACGAAGAGAAAGCAAGTATGACTAAAGTTCCTTTTGCATATGTAGTTGGTGGCCTCATGTATGCTATGATGTGCACGAGATCAGATATTACTCATGCAGTCGGGGTTGATAGTCGCTTCATGTCAAAACCGGGCAGAGAACATTGGGAAGCTGTCAGATAGATACCAATGTTCTAAAAGGCGCTATTGGACGCTAGCCCATCGCCTTGGCGGCTAGGCAGTCGCCTAGGTGGGGACTAGTTGGAGACACCGAAATTAAGAGTTTAATTAAGAGTTTACCCTAAGTGTTTGCTTATGTATATGAACTACTGTACTTGTCAACATGGTATTGTATCATTCATCACCTCAATAAGAAAAGAAAATCCTAGTTGCCCCCATGGATTAGGTTAGTAACATTTACTAGCTGAATCATGTAATATTCGTGTCGTTCTTCTCGTTCTTTTCTAGTTTTTTCAGATTTGTGTGCGCGCCCTAACCCTAATAGATGTTAATTCATGTGGTCTAACTACTGCTTCTTTCCCCTTGTAAAAGCTTCTAACTGTTGCTCAGCTGTTAAATTTGAATTGTCTTAGGAGTTAGATATCCTTTGGTGAGCATTCTATGAAATTAAGATCCACTTGGAAGAATCTTCAAAATATCCACAAAGTACTATTTGAATACCCAATGCTAAATCCTTTTCACTTTGATAAAGCATCTTGCCATCTTCTCTATCTAGTATCTAGTTAGTTGGTGGTGGTTGATTCATTTAGGATGGATATATAAGCTGAATTTAGGTTAGTATGGCTGTATGGTTGATCTTGTTGAATCTTAAAAGATACTCCCTCCGTTCCTATTATAACTTCCAACTTTCCTTTTTCGTTCGTTCCAATTAAAACTTCCACTTTCCCTTTTTTGTAAAGAATTTGTGATTCACAACATTTCTTACACATTTTTCTTTCCTCTGCACAACTCTCCACTATCTTAAATTGTGTGCCAAACTTATTTGGAAGTTATGATAGGAACGGAGGTAGTACTAAGTTTTTTTCACTCTAGGTGGCAAAACACTGTCTGTAAGTTTAGTGCATTATCTTTGGAAATTCTAAGATCCATTTTAAGAGTAAGTGTTTGATCATAACCGTTTGATCTTAAACCTAATGGTTAACTATACATATAGTTTACCAAAGTTATATGGGAATGTTTCTTGAGGCGTGCGCCTTCACCTTCACCTCGCGCCTCAGGTAAATTGAGCCAAAATGCTTCATGCCGCCGTGTGCCTTTTTAAACTAAGGGTTATGGATCTTGAAGTTAACAAAGAAAATGCTCTAGATTTCAGTGGTGTTTTTCCAGCTAAAGAAAAGCCACGGGAAATTCAATATATTGGTCCATCATTTAGTCATTTATTCACGATTCTACATTGCAGTCCCTCATTTGCAATCTGGAGCAATTGAGTCTTTCAATTATCTAAAAAAGTTATGTATTCAGCCGCTCACACCTATTGCCAACACCATCATATTTTGAAATACAAAGAAAATAATACACAATCTTCTTTGAAATTGCAAAAGATGAACAAGTTGAGTGACTCTATAGCTATTGTGTAAGACTCAATTGACAACGTCATAAACAATGAGACACGGATTATACCAAATTCACAATAACGGAGGGACTGCATTGCACAATTGAGAATAATTGAGGGACCACAATAGTGGTTTTTACAAGAAAATCTTATTCTTTTACAGCAAATGCTCATATAGTCATAAATTCATAATGCTCGATTCCTATCCACCTTTAAAAATGAGTCCTCGATTTTATTGCTGCTGTTTGGAATGGATTTGTTTGATGCTTGGATTCCTTGTCAAATTAATTGTAGTAACTAATATAATCCTTAATTTGCTTCTTAGGCCCTTGATATGATAAGGGGTAAGAATATACTCATGTTGATGGATTCACATTTGGAGGGGAATTTCAAGTCAGATGAGGCAACCGTGGTGTTTGATTTGGCTTCCCGATGCCTACAGTATGAACCTAGAGAGCGACCAAACACCCAAGACATTGTTGCTACGCTTGATCCTTTGCAGTGTAAACTTGAGGTATCCCCATCCCCCACAATTCTTTTCCTCAATAACATACTTTCCAACACATCTCTCTCTATATATATACAACAACAACATCCAAACCTTAATTCCAAAAGATTTTGGGGTCAGGTAACATGAAACGATCCATGATATCGATGCCAAAAAAGAAGACAGGCAAAAAGAAGAAAAAGGAAAAAACGAATAAGAAAGATAAATAAACACTACGTATAAGATAACAATAACATAAGAATATAAAAAAGATAAAAGATTAAAAGATAAAAGAGCATAAAAAAGCTAGAAGATAAAAATAACGTAAGAACATAAGAAGACAAAGAAGATAAACGATAAAAGAAAAAGAAAGGAAAAAAAAGAAAATAGATCAATCGTCCACACGAATATGCGCCCTCCACTTTGGCCTCTCCAAAGCCATACTCTCATCCAACCCAAGAAGACGCATATATTCCTGGGTCTTCCCCTCCCTCTCCTCTCTCTCTTCTCCCCACCCCTCAAATCACCTAACAGGTGCATAACTCGGTCTTCTACGCACATGTCCAAACCATCTCAAGCGAGACTCCTGCATCTTATCTTCTATAGGTGCTACTCCCACCTTTTGTATGATTATCTCACTCCTTAGGCGGTCTTTTCTGGTATGTCCACACATCCAACGCAACATACGCATCTCTGCCACACTCATCTTTTGAATTTGACATTGTTTCATCGTCCAAAACTCTACGCCATACATTAATGCAGGCTTAATTGTTCGATAAAATTTATCTTTCAGTCTAGTCGGCATACCTCGATTGCATAGAAATCATGATGTACTCTTCCATTTCATCCACCCAACTCTGATTCTATGGGATACATATCCATCTAATTCACCATCCTTCTGAATTATGGAGTCCAAGTAATGAAACATATCACACATAGGTATCCCATTCTTGCTTCGGCTCACTCTGAAACCTTTGGTCTCCAATGTTTCATGTTTGTCGCCATACTTCCAACTTTGCTTTAACACCCGATTGTGTCTCATCAATCAATACAATATCGTCGGCAAACATTATGCACTACGGTATATCTTCTTGAATCGACTTCGTAAGTTCATCCATGACTATAACAAATAAGAAAGGACTCAGAGCTGATCCTTGGTGCACTCCGATAGTAGTAGGGAACTCTGTGGTCCTCCTTACACTAGTACATACACTCGTAGTACAAGCCCCTTACATATACATGATGATATTGATATACTTACGTGATATGCCTTTTCTAGTTAAGGCCCACCAGAGAACTTCTCGAGGTACCCTATCATATGACTTTTCTAAGTCAATGAACACTAAATGCAGATCCTTTTTTGTATCCCTATACTTCTCCACAACTTGTCTAAGAAGGTGAATGACCTCAGTTGTTGAGCGTCCAGTCATAAAACCAAACTGATTCTCCCAAATTTTCACACTTTTTCGAAATCTTTGCTCAACCACTCGCTCCCAAAGTTTCATGGTATGACTCATAAGCTTAATCCCTTGATAGTTGGCACATTCTTGTACATCACCCTTATTTTTAAATAGGGGAATGAGCGTACTCTTCCTCCAACTCATTGGCATTTTGTTGGTTCTTCAAATCATGTTGAAGAAATGTGTTAACCACTTAATGCCTTTCTCCCAAACTTCTCCAAGCCTCGATCGGTATGTCATCTGGGTCCACTGCTTTCTTCCGCCCCATCTTTCTCGTATCCTCTTTAACTTCTGTTATTTGGATCCTTCTCACGAAGTCTCGATTTACCATACACCTTGGTATAATAACATCATCAATACCTTGCACTCTATTCTCGTTGAACAAGGTATCAAAGTATGACCTCCACCTCTTCTTTATTTCCCCGTCCTCCATTAGTACCCTTTGATTGACATTCTTCACACACTTAACTTTTCTGATATCTTGAGTCCTACGGTCACGAAGACGAGCAAAGCTGTAAATATCTTTTTCTTCTTTCTTAGAGTCCAATTTTGCATACAATTCTTTGTTCACTTTGTGTGTGTGTGTGTCTATATATATATCTTTGCTGAATTTTTTTGTATGTTCTTCATCAAGTCTAGATTATTCACATCAAATTTCAGCTAAAAATTCAACCGAGAAGGCATTCAAATGATTTTTGGAAGATAATTGCGTTTTATAAGTATATAAAGGGCGCAGTTATCGTCCAAAAATCATGACTGTCTTCCCGATTGAATTTTTAGCTGAAATTTGGTATGAATAAACTAGTCTTGATGAAAAACATGCCCAAAAAATTTCAGCAAAAAATACCACCGGGAACTGCCCATAAGGTGGAGGCCGGACGGTGCTCCGGTCGGGAAATTCCTAACCACAAGATAACTCACATATATATATATATGTATATATGTATATATATAAAAGGTTGTGATACTACCATCATTTCAAATGAAGCTAATGACTCGCTATTCTTGGCTTGGGAGTCATCCAGTGGCGCAAAGGCTTCCACCTACGGTGGGGTAAGGTAGGGTCGGATGTACGCAACCTTACCCCTGTACTAAAGCACAAAGAGACTTTTTACGGATTACCCATGGTGAAAATCACGTCGAAAATTGCATGAACCGACTGTTGCTTCATAACAAAGAAGCGCAAACAGTTTAGTGAGTCATTTTGCTTTATTCCATCATATTTCCAAGCAAAAAATTAGTGAATCTTTGGCTTCATTGCATATGATGATTTTTTTTTGGCTTGGGAGTATGATAAAATAAAGCATAATGGCTCACTAATCTGTTTGTGCATATTATGAAGCACCAATGAATTCATGGAATTTTCGACGCGATTTTCATCATGGGTCAACCGTAAATATTCTCTCTGTGCGTTAGTATATGGGGCAACGCTGTGTACATCCGGCCCCCTTACCCCACCATAGGTGGGAGCCTTTGTGGCACTGGGGTAATGTTGTTGTATTAAAGGTTAAGATAGGTAGAGTATCCAGCATACGAACACTGCTGCAATATATATATATATATAGAGAGAAATCATCCTCTCAGGCCACAGATGCTGTCCGGCCAAGCCTGTATGAGGGTCTTCTAAGCAGATTTTTTTGATGATTTTTTTTGAGAATGTTATCCGTGAAATGTTGATTGCACAAACTTTCAGCTTAAAATTCGATCAAGAAGGCACTGAAATAAATTATTTAACAACAGTGCGCTTTATATATACCCATATATATATAAATAATACAATGTTTTTCAATAATTTATTTAACGGACTTCCCGATTGAATTTTAAGTTGAAATTTTGTGGAGATAATCTACACTTCATGGATGTTAGAATATACTCCCTCCGACCTGGAAATTAGTTCCCATATTGACTTGGAGGAGAGTTTTAGGCAAGTTAAAATTTGCATACTTTCCCAAAGTATACCTCTAAGCTGAAAAGTAAGCCAGTAACGGCACGGGGGGATTCTGTCCACCAAAAGCAATCCACTACTCCGTATGATGTGATAGTGGGTACAACAAAATTAAAAGTAAAATGCTAAAGGTACCTCAAAGTTGTACCCCATTTTTACCTCATCCCTAATTGTGTGGTCATAGATGGGGCAACTCATTTAAGTGGTGCCCCACTTATATGGCCACACATTAGGAGTGGGGTAAAAATGGGGTACAACTTTGGGGTACCTTTAGCATAGCTCAAATTTAAAAGGCAATGACTTCGTTCAACAAAACTTCCCCGTCTAAAGTTCCCTCCTTTTTTTGGAAAACTTTCTAATTTTACATTCTATAAATACACTTTCCAAAAGGAGATTTCATGACACAGTATCACACACAACATGCAGCATTTATGTCGGCCAACAACAGTGCTACCCAGTCTTCTTCTTCCCCCTTCTTCCCCCACTGCATTTCCATAAATGAAGCCCTCTCTTCAGGTGCAATAAATGTGTCTTCCTCACCAACTGCAGTAAATGAAGGCCAGTAAAAGGCCTGACACAACAACAGTTGACAAAACTCAAATATCAAAGGCAAGAGACTATCAAGTGCAAACTTTAAGCTTAAACATAACAAAAACATAAAGGTTTAAAATAGGCATCAACTATCAAGGAAAAAGGTTTAAAAGCTCCAAGGTACACATCCAATATCAGGTAGTTCAACCCCAAAATAATATTCTTCTACTAATAATGCACCATAAATAAAAAAGTACGTAATTATAAACTGACCGATAATATTTGCAATTTGCTATGAACAAATAACAACATAATCAGCAAAATATTAATTCCTTTTTAGGTGAACTCAAATAACAAATACATTACAAACAATAAATATAAAAGTGGACTAAAGTAGTAAAATTACAACTACTCGGATTGGCCTGGTCCATGATATATAAGGTATTATGCAAGACAAATATTCTTGACAAGAATTTTTCGCCCGGAACGCCGTCTACCTCCATTACGCTGCTTCCGGGTAGAATTTTTTGATGTGATTTTATGAGCATGTTCTACGTGAAATGTAGATTATATCCACGAAATTTCAGCTTAAAATGCAACCACGAAGTGAGTTAAATAAAATATTGAAAAACATTGCGATTTTTATATGTATTTTGACGTAGTGTTTTTCAATAATTTATTTAACTGACTTCCCGATTGTATTTTAAGCTCAAATTGGGTGGACGCAATCTATATTTCATGAACAACAAGCTCACAAAATTTCATCAAAAACTTCCACTCAGAAGCACCTAAAATGAAGATTACTCGTGCAATGTGAAGAAATTCAGTTCCTGGCTAGGAACCGGAACCGAACTGGAACCGAACCGGACCGATCAAATGCTATAGGAACCAAACTGAAAAAAGTTGAGGTCCAAATTTATAGGAACCGAACCGGAAAATTCGGTTCGGTTCAGATCGGTTTTCCCGGTTTTACGGTTCCAAGTCCCGGGCCTAGGTACTTGCTTCGGCCAGTTCAGGTTCAAAATCAACTATTCACAAAATGGTTCTGAAAGGTGTGCTTAGAAGTCACACAAATGCTATTAAGCCTATGC